ATCCTTTATTGAAAAGGGGCAATCACTAGACCAGGAACAAATTCAAGATTGCAAAAGATCGGAGCTAAAGGTGTATGAGGAGACGCCAATGATTTGCGATGTCATACTCTGTCCCAGACTGTCAACGAATGTGACAAAGTAGGGCATAATATAGGAGGGTGTAGTCGATTTTGTAAACCAAAGTAATGAGCCTATTACTAGGGTATGGCAAGAGAGAGCCTCAATTGAAACCTCATGTCAGAATAGGGACTTCCTTAGAGGCCGTGTCTCCACAGTGTATGCTCTCCTCACCTATCAGAATAGTAAACTTCCCTATATGGAGTATTGGGAACGGGCCTTGAATGTTCTCTATGACCTTTCGGATTGGCAAGATATTGCCCTGGCACTTTCTAAAGTTTCCATCAATACTACTTTAATTGAAGCTAATTATAAAACATTGTTAAGGTGGTATTTGGTCCCTTCTCAGATTGCAAGGATGCATCCATCTACTTCAGCACTCTCTTTTCGCCATTGTGGCCAGGTGGGCTCTAGGTTTCATATCTGGTGGCAATTTCCACTGGCGACCAGATTTTGGATTCACATGTTTAACTTCATTAATTCGATGACGGGGGTAAATATTCGCAGACCCCCGGAGACAGCCCTCTTCCATAAATTCCCAGATAATGTTGCTAAGCAGTCCTGTAATTGATCACCTACATCTTGTTGGTAGCGAGAGTTACTATAACTAGACATTGGAAGCAATTGATTATCCCACTTGACTTTGTAAAGCATAAATTAAACTGGATTATGATCAATGACAAGCTCACCTGCATACTATACAATAACACCAAAAAATTTTACAAAACATTGGATCCGTGTATCCACTATATTTCCACATTGGCCCTTTTCTCTTCTTCCCTACCATTATGCCAGTCTCTCACATTTTAAGAATATGTACCTTTGGTTTGGACTTCCCGATAACTTCTCTACAGAGTTTTTTATCTTTGGTCACGTTTTTTATGACAAATAAATCTTGTTTATGAGTTAAGTTTTAATATTTGTGTTGTGATGGGACATTGAGTATTGTATTACTTATTATCTGAAAATTGTTTAATAAAACCTATTGAAATATAAATCACAAATTTACTGGAATCCAAATTAGTCACAGTCAAAAATGTATTTCCCCATGGGCCCAAACTCGAATCATGCGACGTCATCCAAATGAAACCAATGCATTCGATAATTTCGTTATAACTGTTTTCAGATTTGTTTGCATTCATTGCTATATCCATTCAGAGATTCATTTGCATCTGAATCTCCGAAAATCAAACTTTCTGACGAAAATTTGTGAAAAAAAACAAAATACACATATCTAGTGCAGGGTAAGCTTTGGGATACTCTTTGCCCTGTCTACTCTCTTCAGGATAATACAGGAAATCAAATATATAATCTAATATTAATGTTTTTTTTTTTGTTTTTTTTTTTTTTAGCAATGGAGTTGATTTACTAAAGGCACATAGACTATGCATTTTGCAAGTGCAGTTGCAAGGGCAATTACACCAGAGCATAGTACATGAGGTCAAGCTTCACTTGTCAAAGAATATCCTATCACATACAAAATGACAAAAACCCAGCATTTTTGCATTCACATAATTGGATGATGGAAGTCAGCAGAGTTTCACCTCAACTGCACTTACAAAGTCTATTTACCTTTAGTAAACCAACCCCTATGTTTTTATTACATAAATGTATTTTGGGCACTAGGTTTAATACTGCCAGCCACAGACATGAGACAGTGATCAGACATGCAGACATGATCAAAGTGCCCCAATTTACTTTGCTTAGTCTTATGCTTTAGTCAGTACAGTCTGTTCATTCCCATGGATGAGCATAAAGATTATAGGCTTTTAGTCAAACTACAAGTGTTGCTTGAAAGCTTAGTCTATAATGGGTCCTTGCAATAGAAGGTAATAAACTCTGTACAACAACAGACAGAGACCCATTCCTGGTATCCAGTGCCTCTGATAGGGAAGTAGAGCCAGCCCTACTGTACCTGGCCCTGGACCCTGTAGTTCAACAGAGGGACCAGGGCAGAGAGTGGACACTTTATTTTCCAATAGGCTCAGCAAAGCATTCCCTGCAGGCCACGAATCCCTGCAAGTAAGATAAAGTTCCCCAGGCCCCATCAGTTCAGCAAGAGGTCCAGGGGCAGAAAGTGTACTGTATTCTTTATTTTGGGAACAAGAGGAGTAACCTGAGGTGCAGCAACTCCCACCAATTAAGTGAAGGTTCCCGCCTGTGCAGGGCTTTTTTTGGGAGGAGTGATATAGTTACAAGACCTCAGAGAATTGATGAGTTCTTACCTGTTCTGCATAATGGTTTTGCATAGAGCAGCCCCAAACCTCTTCTGGAATCCCCTGCTGCACTCCTGGCTCCTCCTCTTCTCCAAGGGCCCTCATAGCATGCTACTTGCTATGGGGGCACTCGTGTGGACTCGATCCCAAACCGGGTTTGTGTGCATCTTTTGACACACACATACACACACACACACACTGTGGCTCAGCCCCACCCCCTAGCTCCCTCCTCACAGGCTTTGACTGACAGCAACAGGAGCCAATGCTGGCTCCCACTGCTCTGAGTTTCCTGTGAGAAGAAAGACAGCAGAGTAGAGCTGCCGTAGATGGGCACAGCCCTGGATTGAGGTTGGGTTTATGGGGAAAGCTGAGGGGGAGAAGCTTTTGAAAAGTTTTCTACCTTAATGCAGAGAATGCATTAAAGTGGCTCTAAAGGCTTACAGTATTTTACCTTAATGTATTATCTGCATTAAGGCAAAAGCCTTCTATATTCTGGATCCCCCTCAGCCCGACGTATCTCAGCCTGCAACGCAATCGCGGATGTGGGAACCACAGAGAAACCGCATGGTCAAAAAGACCACGCTGTTTCACTGAGGGTGGTTTTTTAAAAAGGGGCATTCACCTTTTTTTGTGCGGAACGTGAGTCACAGCAGCCCATTCAAATGCCGTGCCCGAGCAAACATGGGCCGCATGGCCTGCAGTAGTGTGAATCGGATCTTAAAGTACATTTTTACACAGCTTGCATTTATTTTATATTTAAAAATGCATATGATATTTTTTACAACTTATTCAAACATAAACAACAGTAGTTTCTTCATATCAAAGAAAATATATTTACATTTTAAGTGAAGTGTAGTGACAGGATCTTCTAGTCTATTTAAATCCACTCGAATATCTGCTTAGGTTATTTTTTTATATCAATTTGCATGCTTAATTTTTTTCTGTTTAAGTGACTTCATTGCTATGTGTGTATTAATCTTCATATTCTAATGTGTGTTTCAATAAATTTGAAAATAAAAAAGAAACAGACATGCTGTCTAGCCGTTTGAAGAGAATTACATAATAAAACATGGTAGTTTTAGGCTACGTTCACACTAGCGTTGTGTGCAGGCGGCAGAGAGGCGTTTGGGAAGCGTTTTTTTTACCGCTTCCCAAACGCCTCTGCCAATTCTGCACATTACAGCACATGGTGCTGTTCTAACGAGAGCGTTTGCGTCGCGTTGCGGCAAAACTGACTCCTCTGGTCGAGTCAGGAGGTGTTGAAGCCTCCTATATTCTAGTCTATGGTGTCGCTGCGAAAACGCCCGGCCGGCGTTTGTGGTGCGGTTGCGACACGGTTGCGGGGTGTTTGTGGAGCGGTAACACAATTAAAAAACGCTCCGCAAACGCAGGACCAACGCTTGCCAAATGCTAAAGGGGCGTTTCGCAAGCATTGCTAAAACAGCCAAGTGTGAACGAGTTGCACACTTAGTTGCACACATTTCTATGCCAGCTGTTATGCGAGCCATAGGCAGAATCAACAGAAACATTGCTTCTTTACTATATTTTCCATGTATTCATTGTAAGAAGCCTACAGTTTGGAGATACATAATAAGAGCATACAAAACATCTCTGAATGTGGCCTTTCTATCTAACTAAATAAAACACCCAGAAAAAATGGATGATCAAGCAGAAATTTAAAATAAAAAGAGAAGGATAACATAACTATGGCTAAAACATAACCAGTTTTAAGAAAACTATTATCTACTATTATCTCTTCCCCAGCCATAAAAACATTGTATCTTCTTAGCACAATAACATATAGAGTATCAATATAGAGTTTCTAGTTCTATTTAAGGACAATTCTCATCAGCACCCACCCACCACAAAAAGTAATTGGGGTTATTAGGAAGTTTTTTTATCAATAAAAAATATGGATTAGATTCAGGAGGGAAATGTGGGAAGGGGAAACTGATGTCCTGTAAGGTATAAAGAGCATTTCAAGAACCGTTTAGTAAAAATAATTTATTTGTAGATTGGTCAACTTTAAGGCAACACAACTGGACAGAAATATTGAAATGTGTTCACAGTTCTAGTATAATGGCTGATATTGTTCCTTGCACAATCCATTTATTCAACATTGGCACTGTACATTTGTATCAGACAGATCTGGCTGTCACTGAACAAAGGGGTAACATTTAAAGTATCTGTTGGCCTATACATAAAAATAGCCTGTGCAGGTAAGGGGATCCTATAGATAAAAAAAACTGTGCAGCTTTGACCATAGTTGAATAAGGCCCTTTCTATAGTTTGCTGAAGGCTGACTGAAAAACTCCTAGAGATCTCTAGTTCCACCCTGCCTTGTTGCTAGGATGTTGCTAAGAGACTCTTAGTTCTTAACCACTTCCCGACCGGCCGTTGTATATAAACGGCCGGACGGTGGCACTGCAGGGTCGGGTGGCCGTCTATAAACGGCCTCCCCGCACCTTGCTTGTGCGCGCTCCCTGGGAGCGCGCAGCACCGCGATCCGGTGCCCGCTGTGTCCTCCGGACACAGTGAAACACCGATCGTCGGACGGGACCTCTGTACGAGGTCCCGATCATGTGATCACTGATTGGCCAATCAGTGATCACATGCAAAGTAGTAAGCAAGATGTCACTTCTGACATCATTGCTTACTATGTGTGAAATCTGTGAATGATCACAGAGGTCACATGGTACAAGGCTATTCACAAAAGCCTTGTACCATGTGACAAGCTGTGACCAATCACAGCTCACTCTGTATTTCTCAATGAGTGCAGGAATGCACACAGAGAGAAAGAGAAATGATTGCTTTTACATCCTATATGGGTGTAAAAGCAATCAGTGTAAAAAAAAAAAAATCTTTATTACCCCTCACAAGTAGTACAGTGTCACCATGGTGACACTGTACTGCTAGGGTGACAGTATGTAAAAAAAAAAAAAAAATAAAAAAAAAAATAATAATAATAAAAAAAAATAAAATAAAAATGTAAAAAAAAATGTTTAAAAATTATAATTTTTGCTTATAAACTAATTTGGATTTTTTTTTTTTACTAAAAAGATAACGGAATAAATTTTGGCTAAGATTTATGATGAAATATTATTTATTTGCAAAATTTTATTAAAAAAAACACTTTTTTAAAAAAATTTTGGACATTTCATTTACATAGCAAAAAAAATACAAATCCCAGTGGTGAATAAATACCACCAAAATAAAGCTTTATCTATCTAAAAAAAATGGTAAAAAATTCATTTGGGTACAGTGTTGCATGACCGCATATCTCGTTGTTCTTCTTTCTTTCTTCTTCCCCTTCTCCTTGCAATTGTCATTCAAAGTGTGATAGCGCTAAAAGCTGAAAATTGCCCTGGTCAGGAAGGGGATAAAAGTGTCCGGTCTGGAAGTGGTTAAAGTGGTTGTAAAGGCTCAAGGTTTTTTACCTTTATGTATTCTAGCCATGAAGGTAAAAAAAACCTTCTGCTTGCAGCATCCCCCCCAGCCCCCTCCCCAATACTTACCTGAGCCTCATCATGATCCAGTGATATGAAGGACAGCCTCAACTGTCCTGTATTTCTGCCTCCTCCTTGGCTGAGACAGCAAGCAGAAACCATTGGCTCCCACTTCTGTCAATCACAGCCAGTCAGTCAACGAGGAGAGAGGGGGGGCAGGGCCAAGCCACGGTTCCATGTGTGAATGGACACATGGAGCAACAGGTGCCCCATAGCAAGCTGCTTGCTGTGGGAGCACCCGACAGACAAGAGGAGCCAGGAGAGCCTGCATGGGAACCGAGAAGAGGAGGATCCAGGCTACTCTGTGAAAAACCACTAAACTGCACACAGCAGGTAAATATAGACATGTTTGTTATTTTACAAAAAAAAAAAAAAATGAACCTTTAGAATCGCTTTAATGTTCACCTTCACCATCTACCACTTTTCTATTGGCACAGACTCACTCTTAACTTTTACAGAAATGCTTGCAGTCTGCCATGAGGCCTTCTCTTAAGAAACATCTAAAACATAAGAAATATATATAAAAAAAAAAAGGTATGTTGTATGAATGGGAACACATTACAAACATATAGTGGGGTTTTCTCAAATTAGACTACAAAAATGAAAATACACTTTAACCTCCCTAGCGGTAATCCCGAGTGTGGCTCAAGGTTAATTTTCAGCACCAAAAGCGGTAACCCCGAGCCACACTCGGGATTACACTGTAGTGTAATTTACCTTGTCCTGGGATCCCCCGATGTCCTCCAGCTGTGTCCTCCCGCTGTGCCAATGCCAGCATCCGTCTTCCGGGTTCCCTTCCCTGCGAGCGTTGTGACACAGGGGGGCAGAACCGGCGGGAGATTCAAAAATGTAAAAACATGATATACACAGAATACATTGTAATCTGTTCGGATTACATTACTATATCAAACTATTTCAGCTCAGTTTTGTCCCTAGTGCTTTGTCCTGTGCCCTGCCTGCACTTTTACTGTTCTTTCTGCCTGGAAACTTAAGAACGTCCATGGCATCCAAAAAGCGTCCCTTTAGGTCAAAAGCGGTTTTAGACCAGCTAGAGAACAGCAATAGTAAATTAGAATCACTTGCAGAATTGAGCGATAATGATTCATGGGGAAATTCATCATCAGACACTGAAAGTGACAACAGCGATGATTCTGTGACTGAGCTCAGTGAAGTGCGGACTTGGTGCTCTATTTCAAATGCCAGTGTTTTTGGTTTGATTACATTATTGTATTAAATGTATTATTATTATATAATTTTTTATTATTGTTTATAATTATTTATTATATTATAATTTATGATTTCATGTTTCAAACTTTATCATACCCGGGATGTTTACTAGACTCTTGTTTGGACAGATTTAAGTGAGTTATTCCTAAGAATTACGGTACAGGCCTACAATATAAAACAACAAATTTCCATGCAAAACAATGTACCGCTTTGACATTCAAAAATATTGACATAATCAGACCGCCAGGGAGGTTAATCACTTCAGTAGCGGACATTTTTACTCCCTTAGTGCTCAGGCTAATTTAAGCTTTTGGTGCTGTCACACTTTGAATAACAATTACTTGGTCATGCAAAACTGTACCCAAATGACATTTGTATCATTTTGTTCACACAAACAGAGCTTTCTTTTGGTGGTATTTGATTATTTCTTGCTAAATAAATGAAAAAAGGCCCCATTTTTTAAATTTTCTTTTCTGTTATAAAGTTTTGCAAATAAATAATCTTTCTTCATAAATTTAGGCCAAGTGTATTCTGCTACATTTATTTTGTAAAAATAACCCAAATCAGTGTATATTTTTTATTCTGTAGGAAAGTCCATAAACCATGGTATATATATTTGAAAATCAGTCAATCTTGATGTACTGACAGCCTATCTCATTTCATGAGGCCCTTAAAATGCTAGGACAGTACAAATATCCCCCAAATTACACCTTTTTTGAAAGCTGACAGTTCAAGGTATTTAGTAAGAGGCATGTTTTTTTTTAAGTTATCACAATATTTTTGGAAAATTAAGACATTTAAAAAAATTCATTTTTCCACTATTTGTTTTTTTACAGCTGTCACCACTGTTATAAGTCATCATATAACTGGTGTGGCGGTGATCAGGGACACTGACTTGTGACAATATGTAAAAAAAAAAAAAAAATTATAATTTTATTCAATTTGTTTTCTTACTTTTTTACAATTCTTTTTATATACTGTGATCAGGGCAGTACAGTGCTACTATGGTAACAGTGTACTGGCCTGATCACAGTATGTAAAAAATATCCCCCCAAAAAATCCTGATCATCTCCCCAGAGTAGTAACACTGCACTACTGCAACCATTTGTTGTGAATCAATCCATTCATCAACTGTGTATCGTTGGGATTAGTTGTGATTGGCAACAGCTAATTAGATGGTACAGATGGACTGTGATTGGCTGTGTCTGTACCATGTGATCACTATGAACAATCGCAGAGAGCAACTCAATAGTACCCAATGAATGGCTATGAAATGTGTACAATTGCCATGTGATCTGCTGTGACTGGTCACAACAATCACATGGTATTGGCAGCAGCCCAGTACACTGATCTGTCATCTGCTGTGTCCGGTGGACACAGTGAGTGACAGATTACCCTGCAGCATGGCCCATGGAGCACGCGCAAAGCACGATTCTGGGAGGAAGTCATATGACATCCACCCAGAACGGGAGAGCTCCTGACCGACCTGTTGCAATGTGATGGCAGATAGAACAGTTAAAGCAGTATTAAACCCAAACAATGTATTATATTATAGCATAACTGCATTAGTTTACATTTTTTAAGGCTTATTTCCTTTATTTTTACCTGTTGATCCAGCCAGCAAGTCTGTTATTTTTCTACTTCCTTTAACAGACTAAGCTGTCAAGCAAAAAATGGGAGTTGAGACAAACCATTTTATCGCCTAAATAAAAAAGTTTTTTTACACTATTGGAGCCCTTTATCTCCTCTGTTTTATGAAATGCCTGATCGTGGTGAGAGGAAGAAGTGGTGGTACCTTGGATGATTAACCCCTTGGGGGAAAGCACTGATTGACCTACTGTAGCAGGGGGTCAGTTCTATCCAGTGAGTTTTCGCATGTGGTGATGGCTCACTACTGAACCAAGAGCATTTTTTTAAAGGACACCTTAACAGCATTAGGTTTGCACAGTCTGCATTGAGCACTTTTCGAACTGTATTGCACAAGATAAAGGATAGCTGAAAGCAGCACTTGAACAACATTATAAATTAATGGACTGTTTACATTAGCTAGCCCATCCCTTCCTCTCACAAGGGAGGAAGGGAAAAAGCAGGATTTCATGAATAAATCCATTTATATCCAATAAACAATCAAAAAGATGGGTGAGTGTGGAAGGGGGGATTTTTTTTGGAGGGATTTAAAGTGCCAGTGACCACGGATGATGAGGGAATGCAAGGGGGTGTTAAAATGCCACTGGCCACCAGTGATTGTGGGATTGTTTGGGGAAGGGATTAAAATGCCACTGACCATCAATATTTTTAGATTGTTTTGGAGAGTGTATTGCTGACCCCAATTTATGGGGGGTGGAGGATTAAAATGCCACTGACCACCAATAATTGTTATATTGTTTTGGGGGGAGTTTACAGTGTTTTTGGTTCAAATGGTCAAACCAATGTAAAATTTAATTTTTACACAACGTTTTATATTACATTACAATACAAAAGTATTTAAAAGACAAGGTAGGTAGATCATCGTAATAGAACTTAAAGTGATTGTAAAGGCAGTGACCTTCTGCACGCAGTCCCCCACTCCTCATACATACTGGAGCCCAATCTTGATCCAGTGATGTGCACAGGAGCTCTTTCCTCTCCCCCTGCTAATTGGCTCAAAGACAGCTGCAGAAGCCACTGGCTCCTTTTATTGTCAATCACAGGCAGTGAGGAGGGTTCGGGAGGCCGAGCCATGTACACAACAAGACACACAGAAGCAGCTTGGGAATGAGCACATGCAAGTGCCCCCAAAGCAAGCAGCTTGCTAAAGAAGCACTTGGCAGGGAGGGGGGGGGGGATAACTCCAGCGGGGACCCGAGAAGAGGAGGATTGGGGCTGCACAGAGCAGGTAAATAAGACATGTTTGTTATTATAAGAAATGTAACTTTACAATCACTTTAAATTCTTGATGATGCTAGGAATTAACTAAATAAATAACTAAATTATTTTTTTTAAACTAATACAAAGCCTTATAATGTTCTTGACATTCTGGGAGGAACATATATGCAATGCATCACCTTTCAGTATCAGAATACTGGTGCTCGTAGTAGAAAATACTAGACAACCAAAATATGGATTTTCTCAGTACCCCATGAACATGACAGATGTGTTAAAAAGTGTACAAATCTTTATTACAAAAATGTTATAAAAAACAAAGTCACACAAAACACATAGTATTAAAGATGTATATGGTGGGAAGTCCTTTTTGTTTGCGGCTTCTGTTTGGGCGCTTCTCATGTACGGGTTTCCCACACATGTGCAGTTGGAAGACCGGATCTCGTGACGTTACATGCTGGTTCATTGCCAGCATGAGCACAACTGATAGGAACTGTATATAATGGGTGAGTGCTCTTTTTCATGCACAGGGACGCTTGATGGATTTTCTACAGTATTCAATGGATTTGGGTATGATAGACCTCTATATATTTTCCCCCTTGTGGCATAATATTTGGTGTTGGTTACTTATTGTTTTACCCTGGGGTTATCTTCGCAGATGTTGTATGGGATGGGAGAAGAGTTTGGCTGCAGCCACTATATACTAAGATTTTGCTAATTTTAAGGGGACCTCATTCCTATATCTTATTCCCAGTGAATTATTACTTCATCTGTAACATCACTCCATATTGGGTTGGTATACAGTTAGGTCCATATATATTTGGAGACAGGCACAATTTTAGTTTTTTTTCAGGTATTTACCAAAACATATTCAAGCTATAGTTCTATAATGGATATGGACTGAAAGTGCGCACTCTCAGGTTTAATTTGAGGGTATGTACATCCAAATTGGAAGGAAGGGTTTAGGAATTATAGCTCTTTTGAGTAGCCATCCCCCCTTTTTCAAGGGATCAAAAGTAATTGGACAGTTGAATAAAAAGCTGTCTCATTGCCAGGTGTGGGCTACTCCTTTGTTATTTCTTCATCAATTAAGCAGGTAAAAGGTCTGGAGTTGATTCTAAGTGTGGTATTTGCATTTTTAATCTATTGCTGTGAACCTACATCATGCGTTCAAAGGAGCTGTCCATGCAAGTGAAACAGGCCATTGTAAGGCTTCAAAAATGAAACAAATCCATCAGAGAGATAGTAGCAACATTATGAGTGGCAAAATCAACAGTTTGGTACATTCTGAGGAAAGAAGAATGCACTGGTGAGTTCAGCAACATAAAAAGACATGGACGTCCATGGACAAGAACAGTGGTGGCTGATCGCAGGATCCTCTCTATGGTAAAGGAAAACCCATTCACAACATAAATACAAGTGAAGGACACTCTCCAGAAGGTTGGCGTATCATTGGCAAAGTCTACAATCAAGAGAAAACTTCAGGAGAGCAAAAACAGAGGGTTCACCACAAGGTGCAAGCCATTCATAAGCTTTAAGAACAGAAAAGCAAGATTAGGCTTTGTAAAAAAAAAATCCAAAAAAAACCAGACCAGTTCTGGAAAAGTATTCTTTAGATAGATGAAACTAAGATTAATCTGTACCAGAATGACAGAAAGAAAAAAGTGTAGAGAAGGCTTGGAACAGCTTATGATCCAAAGCACACAATGTCATCTGTAAAACGTGGTGGAGGCAGTGTGATGACATGGGCATGCATGGCTTCCAGTGGCACTGGGTCATTGGTGTTTATTGATAATGTGACAGAAGACAGACGAAGCCAGATGAAGTCTGCAGTGTTTAGAGATATACTGTCACCCCGGGTTCAGCCAAATGCATCAAAGTTAATTGGACGGCGCTTCACAGTACAGATGGACAATGATCCAAAACACACTGCAAAAACAACCCAGGAGCTTTTGAAGGAAAAGAAGTGGACTATTCTGCAATGGCAAAGTCAATCACCTGATCTCAACCCAACTGAGCATGCATTTCACTTGCTAAAGGCAAAACTAAAGGCAGAAAGACCCACAAACAAAGAACAACTGAAGACAGCTGCAGTTAGAGCCTGGCAAAGCATTAGAAAGGAGGAAAAACAAGTCCTTGGTAATGTTGGTATAGCTGGGCGTCATGTGCGTCCCTGTACCTTTAAGGAGGGAAGGGCTCCTCCAGGAACACCTGCCTTTAACCTATTCATTGATATATGTGCGCCTACTATGGAGGCTTTGGAAATGTTAAAGTTAGGCCCACAGTATGCAGAGGACCCTTGACGCGGGACTGTGGCTTACGTATGTATTTGCAAATGTGAATAAACAAAACCCTCTGTTTTTAACACAAACTGTTAGACAGGGCCAAATTGGTTGTTTTGCAGGCTGACTGGTCAGTGTTGCTGGGAAATCCTTTGTTTGCGATGTGCATTGCCCTTCCATGTGCACCTTACTGTTAAGGCTGGATATAAGTCAGGATGGTTGCCATTTTTTGTGTTGTTGGCTAATTTGGATGCAGGGACGCACTGGATGACTTTGCTGTCATTTTGGTATAGCTGGGCGTCACGTGCATCCCTGTACCTTTAACAAGGGATGGGCTCCTCCAGGCACACCTGCCTTAAGCTTATCCATTGATATATGTACTCCTACTATGAAGGCTTTGGAAATTTTAGAGTTAGGTCCACAGAATACAGAGGACCATTGACTGTGGCTTACGCATGTATTTGCAAATGTGTGCATACAAAACCCTCTGTTTTAACGCAGACTGTTAGACAGGGCCAAATTGGTTGTTTGCAGGCTGGCTGGTAAGTGTTGCTGGGAAATTCTTTGTTTGTTTGCGATGTGCATTGCCCTTCCATGTGCACCTTACTGCTAAGGCTGGTTATAGGTTGGGACGGTTGCCATTTTTTGTATAATTGATTATAAATTTGCAACTGTTTAGTAAAGTGCAAGTTAGAGAGGAAACGGGTCGAATTCCAAAATAATTTTCTTTTGAAAATCTTTTCTAAGAATTTTTGTTCAAATTTTGCACCATTAGTGGGTCACAGAAACGGACGATTTTTATGTGACATTTGAATGATTGGGCATGTTGGAAATTTTGTGAATAACGAATAAATTTCGAATCAATGATGGAAGAATTGTGTGGGAAATATGAATGAAAAAAAAAAAATGAGCATGAGCTGTGACCTGGAAAGAAAAGAAAATTCTTGGCCACGAAAATTATTTTCTGTAGCAACATGAGGTGAAATTGAAGGCTTGGTTGGTTGAATTTCTAAATCAATGGTGGCACCATCCCATTACAAAACTCACAAAATTTCCAATTTTTTAAGAAATTTGGTTTGGAATTCGACCCGTGTATGTCCTGCATTACTCTATGTCTAATCACTTGGTTGATTACTCACCCTGTGACGCTGACTTGTGGATCAAATTCACCTACTGAATATGGAAACAGTGCAAACGGGCCTTTAAACCATCTGACAAAATAGCAAAAACTGCTCTACTTGCAAACCACTAGCGCCTCCCTGGTAAGTTGCTGTGGACATTTCTGTAAATAAAGCAATAAGGTTTCTATCAGGAGCACCTTTTCTATAGACAAAGAAATAGGAGAAAATATGACTGCTGAGATGAATGGCTGTTGCAGAAAAGA